ATTATTAATATATAAAATTAGTGTAGTGTTGTTTACACTACAATAAATAATTTTTTAAAATAATGTCATATGTTCATATAAAGATTCAATGATCATAAATTTTTAAGAATTAATTACAAATATAATGTTGTAATTTGGTACATTGGATTTTACTTCTGACATGGCTTGATATATATATATATATTTTTTCTTTTTGCTTAATTAAAACTTTTGACATTTTTACACTTGACTCGTGTGGCCCAGTAACTAGAGCCACTGAAAAGTGCACATCCCTTCTCTAAGCGGGTTTCGAACCTGCCCAGACAAAACTGTTTAAAAAAAAAAAAAACTTTTGTCATTTTTATTAATTAAACTTGGGAGTCCAATTTTCCTTTTAACGTGAATTTAAAGGAAGCGTTCTTTGTTGGCCTAAATGGATGGCCACGTCACGTCACTTAAAGGAAAAGTGCAGTCTCGAATATTCTTTTGGATTATTGCACTTAAAAACTTATGAATTAGAGCACTACGCGTGTACAAGTAGTAACGTTTTTTCATGTCAAAAATAATGTGAAATGTAATACATGATCATCAAATTAATTTTTTAATTGATACTGAAATAGATATTAATTTACTAATCATACTTTTTATAATAAAAAAAAATTATGAATTAGAGGTAACATTTTATTAGAAGTTAAATTCTTTCTTTCTTTGGTACAAGGGAGTTGCAGAGTTAGGATTAAATTGAAAGAGGGATTTGACTAGGTTAATTGAAAAGGGTGTGGTTGATTTTTAGGAGGTTCCAACCAATAAGACTTGGGTGGTTTTTAGCTGTTGATTTTCATTTTTGGCTAATCAATAGTTTACACAATGGAGGTAATTTTGAGGTTGTTAGGATCTATTTTCGCCGTAGATGATGTAGAGGATCAAGATCCAATTTTTTTTTTTTTTGGGTACATTGGCCAATGCTTACAGCATTGGATTATCTAGTGGCACGTGGACTACAAACTCCTAAATCTCTTCTTGAAGAAGAGATTGAACCACATTAATGGGTTGTTTAAAATAAAGGAAACCTCCCCCTAGGTAATAAAATTGAGATGCCATTGCATCTACACAAAAGTTTTGCTCTCAAAACACATGTCGAATCACACATGTCCAATCTCTTTCCATCAAAGACTTGCAACTCTAAACCCAGTAAGTCAATGATGTAATTGCTGTGGAGTTACTTTGCAATTTTTGAATCACTAAAAGAGAATTTGTCTCCACAATAATCTATTGAAACCCCATGTTCCAAGCTAGCTCCATGCCTTTCCATAATGTGAAAAGTTTTGCATGAATGGCATGGTCATCACCTAGTTGTTGATTGAAGCCAAACAACCAATTTCTTGATGCGTCACGACAACAGCCTCCAGTCGCTGAAGGGCCAGGTGAACCGCGAGCAAAACCATCAACATTTAGCTTAAAAAATCCACTTGGTGGAAGATCCCAACCTACCTGAAATTCCCTTCTCAGGCTTGCATGATGTTGCTTCAAAAGACAAGCAACCTCTATCAAATGATTCTTTAACATAGACTCCCTACTGCTAGTCTATGTAAGGTCATCATTGAAAGCTGCTTTATTTCGTCCAAGCCAAAGATACCAGCAAACAATTGCAAAGGCCACAGCCCACTCTAAATCAAACTCAATCGTAACATTTGTGCATGAAAGATTATGTTTGATCCAAGTCAAGTGGTACATTTGCTGCCAACAAAGCCAAAGACTATCATTAAGCCACCTCTCCCATATCCTTTTAGATACTAGACAATCCCTAAATAGGTGTAGAATATCTCTCGATGAATATAACAACGAGGACAAGTATCATTTTGTGCAATCCCTCTTGCAAATCTAGCACTATTTGTTAGAACTCTATCATGCAAAATGAGCCATAATAAGGACTTAGCCCTTAGAGGTGTTGTTAAACTCCATACCTTATAAATGAGATTGTTATAATTTATTTTTCATAATTATTTATTAAAACAATATAGTTTTAATTTTTTTACTTTATTATTATTTTTTGTAAATATAGTTGATAAACACTAATCTCATATACATATTACTTATATATTGATTCTTAAAAATAAAAATAAAAACAACATTGTTACCAAATGACCGCTAACTTTTAAAAATTCAAAATTTGGTTAACAAAATAGCAAATGATTTTTTTTTTAATAGTGAATCAAGTGATTCTATGAAGATATAAAGAAAAGAAATTACAGTTTGTGATAATCCCTAAATAGAAAACTATAGATGGTATTGAAGGTATCCCAATCGTTTTCTAGTATGACATAGATGAATGCTAGTAGATAGATTAGATAACAAAGAGGTAAAGTAGAAGTTACCCAAAGATCAAATATTTAAATTTGGATATTATCTATGAATTCAAGCTATTAATTTTTATGTATTTGGTAAAAGTTATTAATTAATTATTTTAAGTCTTTTTAAACTTTTTTTATTCATAATCAATTTATCTGTTTTAAATTAAAATGGTTAATTTTGATCTTTAAAAAAAGTTCATAAAAATGCCTTGTAAAATTAAAAAAAAAACCTTAAAATATTTCCAGAGCTGGGACTCGAGCCACGGCTAAACGGCCCATGTGTAGTCAGAGTATGCACCTCTAAGGATTCTTTATCAATATAATAAACAAAAATCAATAAAACCTTCCAACTTAGTAATGTCCCAATTTTGTGCGATCCATTACCAGATTCTAAATTTTAAACTTAATTTGGATATCTAGAATCACAAAAATCGTAATATTTTTTTAATAAAATCATAATTTTGATAACCATGCTCACAAATGTTTTTAGTTTTTTAAAATTAATATCTAGAATGTTTATTTTAATCTTTAAAAATAACTATTTGTTGTCAATTTTAACAAATAAATTAAATATTTTAAATTATAAA